TCCCCAGCCCCTCACCACCATTACCCGCCAAACTAGCACCGTGGCTCCCACGCAGAGGAAATAGTGAGCTCCCCCCCGCCCCAGGGATGCTCTTAGACTTGGGGTGTTTTAGGGCTGTGCTTTGTCAGGAGCCCCAGTGGCACAGTGGTTATGTGGTGAGCTGCTAATCGCAAGGCCGCAGCTCAAAGCCACCAGCCACTCCGTGGGAGGGAGGCAGGGTCTCAGAACCCCCAGGGGCAGCTCCGCCCTGGACTATCGGATTGCTGTGAGTCAGCATCGGCTCGGTGGCTGTGCGTTGGGTTTGGGGTTTGGGAGGATTTGGAAATGAGGACACACTGAGTTCACCACCCAGGGAACCTTCTGGGTTGCAGGCTCTGGCATAAGAAGGCACATGCCCCGCTCTCTGCCCGCCCCCCACCCCTACGTGCCCCTGAGACCCTCTCTTGTCTGAAGGATGTGCCCAGTATTGTTATGAGACCGGATGCGCTGGAAACGCATCACCCGGCCGCAGGCAGATGTGGTATGAAAAGTCTGGCCACGTCGGCTGCATCCGGGGCACACCCGCCCCTGCTTCTCTCGTTAGATGTGTCTGGAGTGACACACAGCCCCGAGCACCCATGGGAGCCTCTGCCTCTGTGCCCCAGGGCCCTGTGGGCCGGGTGCCACGGCAGGGGTGATGAGGCAGCACCTCCTGGCTGCCGAGCTCCTGCCTCTGGGAACGCTCGCTCATCCTTCCTGAGAGCTGACGATGCGTCAGCCCTGCACAGAGCTGCCACCGTGCCGCTCCCCAAAGCCCCAGATCCTCTATGTGGAGGGCTCTCCACGCAGTCAGCCACGAGCTGTCAAGAACGTGAGCTCCTGGGCCAGGGTCGGGGGGCCTGGCGGGGTCACTTCTTGTGGTGAGGCCACCTCATCTGGCCCCTGGCGAGGCTTTACACCCCAGAGATGGGCCATGCCACCATGCTGCTCTCCCGTCCTCCGAGAGCCCATCCGTTGCCGCTGGCCTTGGGCCAGTGGCTTAGTCTCCCTGTTTCTGTCTCTCTGCCCAGGGCAGCAGGGCCACTGTGCCTGGCTCTTTCTAGCCATGGCTTTGGGGGCAGTGCCAGTCCACCCCCAAGTGAGGAGAGAGGCCAATGGTAGGGGTACCCGCTTGAGGTTCAGCTGTGTGCCGAGCCTTTGGGTGTCTTCCTGTCTCGGGACCGACCATGAGGGTAGGGGCAGCGTCTTTGGTCCTGGTGGGCCGGGGGGGTCTCTATGCCTAGGGCCCATGGGCCAAATGAAGACAGAGGCTGAGGCTCCAGGGATGTGGCCAGGAGCCCAGGAATCAGGAAGTGGAAGAGACATCCTCCCCTAGAGCCTAGCCCCCACCTCCTTCAGATCCCAGCCCCCCTCCTCTAGACCTGGCTCTGCACCCCCAGGTCCCAGCCCCCCTCCTCTAGACCTGGCTCTGCACCCCCAGATCCCAGCCCCCCTCCTCTAGACCTGGCTCTGCACCCCCA